CTCTGCAAGCTACTTATTCTATTAATGGGTTTGCCTTAGAAAAATTAACCCAGGTTAATGATCTCGGCATCCTATTAGACATCAAACTTAAATTGTCGCCCATATTTCCTTAATGGTTAATAAGGCTAAAGGAGTCCTTGGTTTTATCAAAAGGTGGTCAAAAGAATTTAATGACCCCTATATAACCAAAACACTATTCATTTCTTTGGTCCGTCCTATACTGGAGTACGGTTTATGTGTCTGGAGTCCCCAATATGGAGTACATCAGGACCGCATAGAATCCGTACAAAAGAATTTCCTAACTTTTTCACTTAGAGGTCTAAACTGGGATGCAAATCTTCAACTTCCATCTTATAGTAGTAGACTCTTACTCATAAACTTAGCTAGCTTAACAAATCGTAGGACAATGCTCGGTGTAGTTTTTTGGTGTAGCAAAAATGGGAACGATCACTAGATTATGAAGAATTGCCGATGTGGATTTCGATAAATCATTAAATCGTAGGTAACAGCACCTGTCCGCTGAAGAGACTGGCAAGCCAAAACAGGAAAAAGGAAACATAAGCAGGAAACATAATAGCAGATCGTTGGATTCTTCGCTTCCAACAATAAACAAGCTTGCAATTATTATCAGTTCGCCCGCCTTGCTGTAATGCAAAGGCTTGAGTTTGAAAAGTCAGTCTCATTATGTATAAATTGTCTGCGAAAAGGTCACAAGGTTGCGAAGTGTAAATCGACCAGGTGTCAAATTTGTGAAAGATCGCGCCACCAACGTATAAAAGTCCTCCTTCAGCGCTAAATCTTGATAGTCCTTCTATGTCACATGCTTTGCATGCGTCGTCCCTAGAAAGGGTTTTTGCGACGTCGATTGTATGCGATTGTATTGGTATTTTTACCGTTTAGTCATATGGCAGCTGTAAGATAATGTCGGCCGATCCCGGTCTTTCCGTATTTTATACAGCGTGCAAAGAAAAGAAATCCGAAAAGTGTGCAAAGTTTTCAAGACGATAGCTTTAAAACTGAAAGACTAGTTTGCGTAGAAACAGACAGACGGACAGACGGACATGCTCATATCAACTCAGGAGGTGATCCTGTTCAAGAATATATATACTTTATAGGGACGGAGATGTCTCATTCACTGAGTTGCACACTTTTGACCAAAATTATAATACCCTCTGCAGGGGTATAAAAACTACGTTTTTTCCTGAAAATGCTCTCTCTTTTTTTTTCTTTGCTACGCAATGCGTAGAACGTAGTACGCATACACTCAAATTTGAAACATGTGTGCGTTTTGCACACAACTGCTCTAAAAACACCGAAGTTATAGTATTTCCAATCAATCAGTTATATGGCAGCTATAAAATATAGTCGGCCGATCCCATCTGTTCTAACTTATATACTGCGTGCAAAGAAAAGAAGGGTGTGTGCAAGGTTTAAAGTGGATAGTTTTTTAACTGAGAGACTAGTTTGCGTAGAAATCGGCAGACAGCCCGAAAAATGGAAATTCTCATATTAGCTTAGGAGGTGATCCTCATCAAGAATATGTTATATGCAATCAGCAAATCTTATTTTCTGTACGTTTTTCTCCGAGAATAGCTTATTATCTGATCTTTTAAGGGTCAAACCCATTTATTCGCCAGGCCCCGATGGAGTACCAGGCTGTGTGCTAAAATACTGTGCCAGGGCTCTGTGGAACCCTCTTCTAAGACTTTTCAACTTATCTTTGGAAACCTTGGTTTTTCCCTTTAAGTGGAAGGAATCTTTCATAATTCCATTTCACAAAAAAGGGAAAAAATCCGATGCTGCCAACTACAAAAGCATCTCTAAATTGTCAGCAATTACTTATTTGAAAAATGAATTACTCCTCGTGTGCGACACTTTTGCTCTTCGATAATCTCTCCATGTCAGCATGGCTTCATCAAGCGTCGCTTCACCCCCACAAATTTACTAGAGTTGACATCCTTTGTCATAGATGGCTTTCGAAAGGGATGTCAAACATATGTTATTTACACAGACTTTAGCAATGCATTTGATTATATCAATCACTCACTCTTGTTGAGAAAACTGAATATGGTGGGATACAGACCTCTAAACGTGGATCTCCAGCTTCTTAGATGGAAGAACACAAAGAGACTTATTTAATAACATACAGTCCCGTCTGGTCCGTGATACATCTGGCGTCCCTCAAGGAAGTCATCTTGGTCCGTTTTTATTTACTATTTTTACTATTTATGACTGGGCCCCTGTTTTGACGAACTCTTTAGTTCTTATGTATGCAGATGATGTAAAGCTTTGTCTTCAGTACAAATCCATCTCTGGCCAATGCAGTCTTTAGTCTGATCTTAAAAACTTTCAAAACAGGAGTTTAGCTTATGATTTAATACTAAATGAAATTAAATGCAAGCTTATATCTATTTATCGTTCCCGTCCTCTGCAGGTTACGTATACTCCGTATGGGATTGCCTTAGAGAAATTAACTCAGGTTAATGATATCGTAGGATTAGACTCGAAACTTAAATTTGCCGACCATATTTCCCCAATGGTTAAAAAGGCTAAAGGAGTCCCTGGTTTCATTAAAAGGTGGTCAAAAGAATTTAACGACCCCTACAAAACTAAGACCTTATTGATTTTTTTGTTCCGTCCGATACTGGAGTACGGTTCATGTGTCTAGAGTCCCCAATATTGAATACATCAGGACCGCATAGAATATTAACTTATATTAACTTTTCTTAACTTTTTTAGGGTCTTATGTTCGAACTATAAGAGTCTCTACTCCATAAAATCTCTTTCCTGCCCTTTAAATTTAAAATATAGAATTTTAAATTTCCTTACTAACTCTTCTTAGCTTAATAATTAACAAAAAACTTAATATATTCTAACAAATCGTTTCTTGAGCGCCCCTCGGTCGTCTGGGCCTCTAAGCTTTATGATGAATACAGGAATGCTAGCTGATGCTCTTATTGATGCACAAGCCATTTCCAAATTCTGAAAAACCGGTAAAAAAAAAAAAAAAAAAAAAAGATAGTGGTATATTGTTAGTACAGTAAAACTTAAATATCCAAATTTTGAATACTTTTAAAAAACACATTTTTATACCCTTGCAGAGGGTATTATAATTTTGTCCAAAAGTGTGCAACGCAGTGAAGGAGACATCTCCGACCCTATAAAGTATATATATTCTTGATCAGGATCACCTCCTGAGTTGATATGAGCATGTCCGTCTGTCCGTCTGTCTGTTTCTACGCAAACTAGTCTCTCAGTTTTAAAGCTATCGTCTTGAAACTTTGCACACACCCTTCTTTCCTTTGCACGCAGTATATAAGTCGGAACGGCCGGGATCGGCCGACTATATCCTATATCTGCCATATAACTGATTGATCGGAAATGGTATAACTTTGGTGTTTTTAGAGTTAGAGAGTTCAAATTTGACATGAGAGCTATTTTTGGCAAAATAATACGACATGCCAAATTTCATAAGGATCGGCCGACTATATCCTATAGCTGCCATATAACTCAACGATCGGAAATGACCCAACTTTCGTGTTTTTGAAGATAGAAAGCTGGAATTTAGTACAGACTCTAATTTTGGTTAGTTGATCCAACCTACCAAATTTCATTAGGATCGGCCGACTATATCCTATAGCTGCCATATAACTGAACGATCGGAAATGACCCAACTTTTGTGTTTTTGAAGATAGAAAGCTGGAACTTGGTACAGATTATATTTTGATCCATCCTACCAAATTTCATAAGGATCGGCCAACTATATCCGATGTTTGCGATATATATCCGGTTTTAGCTGCAAGGGTATATAAACTTCGGCTCCGCCCGAAGTTAGCTTTCCTTTCTTGTTAAACAAATTTTCGTCAATACTTTGAAATAATATATCTCTTCTTACACTGCCGTGCAATGAAACAAGGAAAAACTCCTCAAAAATATTAATATCATTAATCGTTTTGATACAAAGAATAAGTTGGTATATACCATTTATGTCAGTAAGTTCATCAAGAGCCACAGAAAAATATTTGGAATTAGCCAGTTCATTCTTTGCCTCAGAATAATTTGGCTTATATACTCAGTCCTGCGTGTTATTGTACGCCGGAACGAGGGTATATTTTTACATTTTTTTTTTATTGTAAGACCTCCAAGCTCTTTTTCCCTAAACATTGAAGGATATAACATCTTAATTCCTTACAAGATATATGATAAGGGCGACAATGCTTTGCTAATCGGGGTGCCTTATTTTTTTTATCAATTTTATTACAAATTATATTATTATTATTATTTTTTATATCCTTTTCAGCTATGAAATTTAAAAAATAAAATGCTTTTAATATCAACAGCTTTTTATTTCGAAATTTCCCTGTAAATTCCGAAAAATTGGAATGTAAACTATCATAATGACTTTTTAAATTAAAAGAAGCTTTTCTAGAAATTGTTCTTGAACAAATTAAGCATGGCGCTTCTCTATTCATATTTTCTATAAAGAAAAGATGCTCCTCCCAAATTCCAGGGGCATAGACAATTTCTCTGTCCTCTGTCATGCTCTAAGCATACTTTCTGCTATTCGTTATTAACACTAATGCACTAATATATCACTGTATTGAGCGCCGACCACTGCTTTAAAGTTTAAACTAAGGTTAGTTAAATTGTGGGTGGAAGAGATGAGTACCGGGTATAATAAAGCCAGGAAACTCGACTTTAGCCGTCCTTTCCTATTAAAAATAGAGAATTTAGAGTTTCTATGGATTTTATTTTTGATCCGAAAAATTTCATAAAGATTGGCCAACTATATCCTATAGCCGCCTGAAGCTAGCTTTTTCTTTCTTGTGTGTTCTTATTTCATCACTTGATCAGAATACGGAAATACAGGGTTTGTTATTCACTACTAAATAAAAAATATTTGAATAAAAAATCCTGACCTTTTCCAGACTAGTATTAAGACCCAATGCCTAGTTTTACTTGAACAATATCAATACCTTCAATTATAAATAAGGCCTTACCTTGATCAGCTCGTGAAATTCGAAAATGAATCGTTAGTATAATAAACCAAATCATAGCCAACAGAGATATCCTTGAAGCAAAATGATGTTCTTTTTGGACAACTATTCGCTTTGATGTTCCAGATATGGGCGCAAACTGAATTATTCTCAGCAGATACTTTTCGAAACACAAATCTCCTTTAGGATAAAATTTAAAATAGATTTGTTGTCCTCCATTTTTACTAGTGCCGAGAGTAGATTCCATTTTGATATCTAAAGATTTTTTCCGCTTAAATTTATACGTATACATATATTGTTTAGCGGAAAATTCATTTGATGTGTATTCACTTGCCTCGACAGCATCAGATATCAATTTATTTTTAAGTACAAGCTGAAATAATAATAATATTTAGTACTCTTTGAATTTTTTGTATGTTTATTGTTTATTTTATCTCATACAAGCGAATTCTTACAAAACACAAAATTTAAGAAAAATGCTTTGATACTTATGTATGTACATACAAACATGTATGTATTTGTACTTACCAGAATTTGCTTCTGGAACACACATATTTATATGGTATATTTTTGCATTTTTTTTGTGCAAGATGAATGGAAGTGTAGTATATCAAATTATTAACAAAATTTACCTATGATTTTCATGTTTTTTTCGAACATTGAAAAGATTGGAGTTACTCATTGAATTATTTTATTTAAGAAATAACAATCGCACTTAACACAAATACATGGTATAATGTATGTATTAGGTAGAGGTGGATTACCATCGACTCTTCATCGATATCGAATAATATTATCGAATCATCGATAAGAACACATACAAATAAACAATTTTGAAAAAACTTAACACAAAAAAAAAAATAAATAAAAATCTAATGAACGCATTAAGTTTGCGTTCAATGGAAATATTGTGTTTGTATATATTGTATTGTATTTACAATAATTACGCCTTATATTTTCATATATTTTATTTTTTAATACTTTGGAATTGGACAGATTTCATGGAAGACATACAAGCTAAAAGACACTATTAAACTTTAATTAATACAAGAATATAAAAGGCATAAGGTAAAGCCTAAAGCTTAGTACTCGGAGAAACAAAAAATGTTTTCAGTTAAGGGTGAGCGAGAGGCATCTAGCTGAAAAACAGTATTTGGCAGTATCTGTTCGAGGCCAAGTTCTTTGATCGAAAACAAAACCAGAAATATAAATAGGGATTCCAAATTTGAGTCTTTCATCCCGTTTGACAGATCAGTGGATAGACTTGCAAGACTTTTTTGCATTTTTATTTGTTGTATGCATCAAACGGGGCTTGCATTTAAAGCAGGCTGTGCATAATCATACTATCGGACTGCAGACTTCCTGCGCATTTACGATCCATATGCGATGTAGCAAAAGACTCACAAGTGCTTGTGGACATAAAATATCCACTTGTGCGCTTTGTCAACAATACTGGAAACTTGGCATCGTACGATAAAAAAATATTAGCTAGTCGCCCCCGACCCGCACCAACGAAAAGGTAAGCCCAGCTTCAGAGGATTCATGTAAAAACGGGTTAATCTTTGGTAGACTTGGGCAAACAATTAAACTTTTTCCGATTTTTTCTATTTCTGCTTGATACTTGTGCTCTTGGACTATCTCGAAATTTTTTTCGCGGCCTTTCAGAATTTGGGAAATGGTTTGTGAATCAATTAGAGCATCAGCTAGCATTCCTGTATTCATCATAAAGCTTAGATTCCCAGACGACCGAGAGGCGCTCGAGAACGGTTAATTAGTGTATATTAAAGTTATTTGTAATTTATTAAGCTAAGAGGAGTTAGCAAGAAAATTTAAAATTCTATATTTTAAATTTAAAGGGCAGGAAAGAGATTTTATGGAGTAGAGACTCTTGTAGTTCGAACATAAGACCCTAAAAAAGTTAAGAAAAGTTAATATAAGTTAATATTCTATGCGGTCCTGATGTATTCAATATTGGGGACTCTAGACACATGAACCGTACTCCAGTATCGGACGGAACAAAAAAATCAATAAGGTCTTAGTTTTGTAGGGGTCGTTAAATTCTTTTGACCACCTTTTAATGAAACCAGGGACTCCTTTAGCCTTTTTAACCATTGGGGAAATATGGTCGGCAAATTTAAGTTTCGAGTCTAATCCTACGATATCATTAACCTGAGTTAATTTCTCTAAGGCAATCCCATACGGAGTATACGTAACCTGCAGAGGACGGGAACGATAAATAGATATAAGCTTGCATTTAATTTCATTTAGTATTAAATCATAAGCTAAACTCCTGTTTTGAAAGTTTTTAAGATCAGACTAAAGACTGCATTGGCCAGAGATGGATTTGTACTGAAGACAAAGCTTTACATCATCTGCATACATAAGAACTAAAGAGTTCGTCAAAACAGGGGCCCAGTCATTTATGAAAATAGTAAATAAAAACGGACCAAGATGACTTCCTTGAGGGACGCCAGATGTATCACGGACCAGACGGGACTGTATGTTATTAAATAAGTCTCTTTGTGTTCTTCCATCTAAGAAGCTGGAGATCCACGTTTAGAGGTCTGTATCCCACCATATTCAGTTTTCTCAACAAGAGTGAGTGATTGATATAATCAAATGCATTGCTAAAGTCTGTGTAAATAACATATGTTTGACATCCCTTTCGAAAGCCATCTATGACAAAGGATGTCAACTCTATTAAATTTGTGGGGGTGAAGCGACGCTTGATGAAGCCATGCTGACATGGAGAGATTATCGAAGAGCAAAAGTGTCGCACACGAGGAGTAATTCATTTTTCAAATAAGTAATTGCTGACAATTTAGAGATGCTTTTGTAGTTGGCAGCATCGGATTTTTTCCCTTTTTTGTGAAATGGAATTATGAAAGATTCCTTCCACTTAAAGGGAAAACCCAAGGTTTCCAAAGATAAGTTGAAAAGTCTTAGAAGAGGGTTCCACAGAGCCCTGGCACAGTATTTTAGCACACAGCCTGGTACTCCATCGGGGCCTGGCGAATAAATGGGGTTGACCCTTAGAAGATCAGATAATAAGCTATTCTCGGAGAAAAACGTACAGAAAATAAGATTTGCTGATTGCATATAACATATTCTTGATGAGGATCACCTCCTAAGCTAATATGAGAATTTCCATTTTTCGGGCTGTCTGCCGATTTCTACGCAAACTAGTCTCTCAGTTAAAAAACTATCCACTTTAAACCTTGCACACACCCTTCTTTTCTTTGCACGCAGTATATAAGTTAGAACAGATGGGATCGGCCGACTATATTTTATAGCTGCCATATAACTGATTGATTGGAAATACTATAACTTCGGTGTTTTTAGAGCAGTTGTGTGCAAAACGCACACATGTTTCAAATTTGAGTGTATGCGTACTACGTTCTACGCATTGCGTAGCAAAGAAAAAAAAAGAGAGAGCATTTTCAGGAAAAAACGTAGTTTTTATACCCCTGCAGAGGGTATTATAATTTTGGTCAAAAGTGTGCAACTCAGTGAATGAGACATCTCCGTCCCTATAAAGTATATATATTCTTGAACAGGATCACCTCCTGAGTTGATATGAGCATGTCCGTCTGTCCGTCTGTCTGTTTCTACGCAAACTAGTCTTTCAGTTTTAAAGCTATCGTCTTGAAAACTTTGCACACTTTTCGGATTTCTTTTCTTTGCACGCAGTATAAAATACGGAAAGACCGGGATCGGCCGACATTATCTTACAGCTGCCATATGACTAAACGGTAAAAATACCAATACAATCGCATACAATCGACGTCGCAAAAACCCTTTCTAGGGACGACGCATGCAAAGCATGTGACATAGAAGGACTATCAAGATTTAGCGCTGAAGGAGGACTTTTATACGTTGGTGGCGCGATCTTTCACAAATTTGACACCTGGTCGATTTACACTTCGCAACCTTGTGACCTTTTCGCAGACAATTTATACATAATGAGACTGACTTTTCAAACTCAAGCCTTTGCATTACAGCAAGGCGGGCGAACTGATAATAATTGCAAGCTTGTTTATTGTTGGAAGCGAAGAATCCAACGATCTGCTATTATGTTTCCTGCTTATGTTTCCTTTTTCCTGTTTTGGCTTGCCAGTCTCTTCAGCGGACAGGTGCTGTTACCTACGATTTAATGATTTTTCGAAATCCTCATCGGCAATTCTTCATAATCTAGTGATCGTTCCCATTTTTGTCAAAAAAATACTGAAAACTAAATAAATAATCATCGAGCTTATAATTTTAATGTCATCTGATCTGAATAATTGATGACACTGTTAATCGATGAGACCTCTCATAGACGACGCAGACGGCTGCGAAACTTTCGGATGGCTGAATAATTTGCTTATTTGGTTCGCAAAGATGACACATTCGTTATCGTGAACTTTCTTTAGACTATCCATAGCTTTGTCATAATACTCTGGGCGACTTGGAATGCCTTGAGAGTTCTTAAGGTTTTACCAGAGAGGCAAAAAAATTATATGATTTAATTTCTTGATAAAAGGAAAGTTCACATCTTTTTCTACTAATGTCTCGAAGATACTCGTTAAAATTTTAGACTCCGAATAGTTTCCATTGAATTTCGGCAATGCCACACTGGAAAGTCAAGCTCGAGTTGGGGCGACAGACATTGCAGTAGCTGAAGGGGAATCTTCAAGTGAAGGCATTTAATAATGACATCACCATTGCTCCATATTCTTCATCACAGATGAAGCTCCATATTCATCTTCCCCATCTAATTGCTCCATCTGGTCTTGCAAGTCATTAGCCTTAAAAATTGTCTCATTTAAAACCTGAAGCCTGCACTCTAGCTTGATCTTTACCAAAGATTATAAAGTATATAGATGGGATTTCATACAAAGAAAAGTTTTCTATGGCGGGTTCCAGCGCTAGAACCCGCTGGAACGAGCGGGTTCCACAGCGCGACAAGTTAAGTTTGAGAAATTTTTCGCGCGACAACGAATGAGGGGTAGCCGAGGGGTAGAGTGCTTGGCTGATGTGCAAAGTATAACGAGTTCAAACCAGGCTCGGGATATCCATTTTTTTTTAATTTTAAATCTGATTATATTATTTCAATTTAACTTATTCACTCAAAAAACTAAGATGGAATAGATTTTTTAGAGTCCAGGAAAAATACCTTATCAACTTAGAATAGACAATGGGTAGTGACAAATTGTGTGGTTTTTCCAATATTAAAGTGTGCGGGAAAAATACAAAAACCGCTTACAATATCTTAACCTACAAAAATAAAACTTTAGGTCTTAGTTATAACTAAAAGTTATAGTCTAAAGCTAGGTCGTTTAAATGAGGGTAAATGAGACAGGTGCACCATAAAAAATTATTGCTTGGAAGATTGATCTAAATAGAAATAGTTTATTTTCTAAGCTCAGGCGGGCGTTTCTGTTTATGAAGGGGTAGAGAGTTCGAACCGTCATGTTCACCTTTTTAATGGTGTTTTTTACATGGTCGCCATATTTCAGTTTTTTGTCTAAAATTAATCCTAGATATTTGACGCTAGGTTCCCACTTAACATAAGTATTCCCTAGCTTGATTGCTCCATTGGGAATGTAGATATTTTTCCTGTACTATTTACTTGTCTATGTACTGTATAATCTTTGTCTTTACTAAAGGAACTTTGTCTTTACCGAATGCTTTTTACTCTGGCATTTAATCCTCTTCTTAAGTCATCAAGGGTCGTGGATTTTAGTTACTGTTTATCTCCCATTTTTTT